AAGCAAAATTACTTATACGCAGTCTTATTTTCTGAAAAAATTGCAAAATTAAGTGAGTTTATGCTTAAAATAAGCCAAAAATGCCAGTGGGGTCAAAATAAGGGAAAACAAGTAGATTTTTCTGACCCCACAGACAGATGTTTGTTCTGGTTTTAAGTAAAAACTCACTTTCTCATTTTTCAGAAAACAAAGCTTCATTTTATTTCTGACTTGATTTAGAAATGTTTAGATACTTTAAGACCACTGCTGTGGTCGAACTTTATGAATCTTAACTCGATTATTTACTCAGTAGTAACAAAAGTTAGTAATTTCTTAGCGAGTGACTGAAGGTAAAATGTTGATATATTATCAAACTCAAATTTGTGTCATTTGATCAAAAAGGATGGATGCTTTGGACAAACCAGCTAACAACACAAAACATTGATGAATTCATCAGATCCGCTGGTGATACTTTCTGAATCATGATGTCACTTCCTTCCTGTGGATGATGTCATTCAGGAACTTCAGTTTAAGGGCTTTCTACAAAAGACTAACAGAATGAAGTGGGGCTAATTCTTTAAAATATGTGTTGTTTGAGACATCTGGATTAGAGAATGAAAAAAAACAAAACTGTTGGCAGTTTTTCATGGTAGATGTTAGTGCAATCATTATTTAGACAAAAAATATACTTTGACATATTATAAAATAAAATAAAATAACGTATTTTATTCCAGCTAGTTGCAACATTTCTCATTTTCGTTTAGTTTAACTTTACATACTAAAAAACTAAAACTAAATAAACTAAGACTAATAAATAAAAATAATAAAAACTAGGCATACTTAAAAAAATAATAACACAATTCTAATACTTAAAAATTAAGATGAAAACAGAAAACAAATGACAAACAAGACTAAACTAAACATTTAGATTTTAAAATTCACCCCATGTCCACTTACTATTATTTTGTGATAAAATAAACTATGATTTACTTCTCTGAAACCTGTGGGTTTAATAGTTATTAATAATTATTTCCATTTATATCAACATATGAACATTTAAACGCATTGAATAGCATAAAAAACAATGCTAGGACATTATTTTACAGACATTTCCATTAACCATAAAACACAATGCACTGAAGCACACAATTCAAAATACAGGTCAAACACAAGTAAACAAACAAAAAAATCAATACAGAAATTCCTTTATATTAATACAGAGAATTGCACCCTATTGTTACTTTGTTTGTTTTTTACCGTGCAGGACTGACTCACATGCTGAACCCTCCAGATATACTGTACACTCCCCCGGTTTGTTTTCATGCTCCAGTTACAAACCTTCCGAGGTGTTTATGTGTCTGTGGTCCATGAGTGACCACAGATGGTTGCGGTGCCACAGACCGAGCGAGCGCAGTCACTGCTGCAGCTCCACCATCTGTCTCTCAGAAGACAGTCAGGAGCTCCAGAGTCTCTGCAGCAGCGCATGTGATGGAGATCAACACTTACCTGCTTTCTCCGGTTGTGTCAGTGCAATGCATTTCACCTTCTTAGACTTGAACTATCGTTGCATTTTTAAAAATTCAGTTTTAGCTGTATTTCACTGCTTCTGTTTCATTCATTATTAACCTTAAGCTTACACGTTGTCACTGTTGCACAAATCCATCAATAAATTATGTCTATAATCCATAATAACGCTTCCTCCAGTGAGTCAGTGTTCTGGTGTGAATCAGGAGAGAAATCTGCACAGATCAAGCAGCGTTTAAACAGCTCTAAACACATATGTGGCTGGATTTTGATGTGAGAGACAACAGCAGATGCACTTTTTCACTGGAGGAAGTGTTATTATGAATTATGAACTCTATGTATTTTAGACATTAAAAACGTCTTAATGCTGGATTTGTTTCAGCATTTGTTTTCTCCAGATGCTAAATGATGGACTGGAGTTCTTGTGGATTATGGTGATGTTTTTATCAGCTGTTTGGACTCTCATTCTGACGGCACCCATTCACTTGCAGTGCGACACTGATGCAATGCTTCGTTTCTCCAAACCTGACGAAGAAACAAACTCATCCTCATCTTGGATGGCCCGAGGGTGAACACATTTGCAGCAAATGTTCATTGAACTATTCCTTTAACATACATATTAAACATTATGAAATATAAAAACAAGCGAGTGAGCAAATGAGTAAAATCTAAGTTTATTTAATTTTAGAAAAAGCAGCAAAAAGTCTCTTACATATATATAGTATCCATCAACAAGCCTTTCAATGAGGCAAAACCAAATCATATTCATACAGCGTAATAGTATGAGGAAAGATGCAAAGAAGCAACATGATTCAGAGCGAGACTGAAACATGTCCATCAGTACCCTGTTAGGATGATGACTGAATAATATACTTATTGACCGATGATAATTCATTATTACGGCGCTGTGGATCCATGGTGAAGCTTCTGTTACAGGAAAAGTGTACATTATTTAATGCTTAAAAAATTACACAGAAAAAAACAGACCACAAATGAGCAAAAATGGACAATGAAAACATAAATCTTCAAAAATCTTTATCAGTATTTATAAATCATTATGCAAATGGTGCATACTTACAGGAACTGAGTTATATTTAGAGAAACACTATTATATAGAAATAAGAAACAGTATGCTGTAAACTTCCTGTTTACAGATTACAATCACAGGAAGTTGAAATTTCAGCTCATCTCATATAAACTAAATCACTTTAAAGTCGATGTGTGTTATTAATAGGTGGTCTGACGTGTCAATGTCTGACTCAGCCAATGGCATGACTTTGGGGGCGGGACTATCTGTGTGACTGACCAATGGCAGAAGGGAGAGCGTGTTCATGAAAGCAGTTCTTTTGACGTTCCATTTGATGAGGTTTATTAACTATATTTGCATCTAAATATTTAAGGTGGTTATCAAATGTGTTTCATGTTATGGGATAACTGACTGAAATGAGGACCAGACCATCCACTGTCACACAAATTATGTTTTGAAATGGTCAAACATGGAGGGATGAAGATGGCAAACGTACATTCAGAACTGTACACGAGCAAAAGAAAAAGTCCCTAAAAGACCGTTTCATTGAAAGCAATACTACACGCTGCAGATGTCCTTTTTACAATTTATTCTATATGCTATATACACTAAAACAACACTATTCAGGCTGAGAGAAAGATTACTGTCAGATAAAGGCCGTCGCCACACTGATACGAGCTCTAAAAGGTGCTGCAAGCAATCATTTTAACACAATAATACATATAAAATCTTACTACAACCTGGCAGATATCAGTGAAACACGTGCTGTGAGAAATCACAGAACTAGACTGCAAAAGATAACAGAAAAGAGCCAATCAGAAACCCTCTCCATCTGTCAATCATATCTTTTGAGGGCGGGGTTTAAAGATTTAAAGGTTTTGCAGCACCTTTAAGATCTGACAGCAGATCCTCTCAGAGTTCCACATTGCGACCTGATCTCGTGTTCGAAATGTAAGAAGCGACACTTCTATGGCACAAGTTCTTTCTTAAATTCTTGAAAAAACACAGAGACTAAATATGTTCAGAAATCCTCTTAAATCAGCCACAGTGATCAATACTACTGCTGGTCATGGCTGCGGAATGGACACAATGAACTCCCATAAAGCACTGCTGTACATGACGCATATAGCTCACTCTAGATCGATAGATAGATAGATAGATAGATACCCTTGCAACTGCCTAGCAACCACCTAGAACATCCAAGCAATTGCCTAGCAAAACCCTAGCAACGCCCTAGCAATTGCATACCAACACTCTATCAACCACCTAAAACACCATAGCTACTGCCTAGTAAAACCTTAGCAATGCAAAGCAGCAATTAAAGGCTCAATTAGTAATGACACTCGACTGCCTAGCAACACTCTAGCAACTGCATAGCAACACTCTAGCAACCACCCAGCAACAAAAATAGCTGAAAGCAGCAATTAAAGGGTCAATTAGTGGTTACTTTCGACTGCCTTACAACACTTTAGCAACCACCTACAAATACCCTAGCAACAACCAAGAACATCCTAGCGACTGCCTAGCAATTCCCTATCAACTGTATCGCAACACTCTGTATCAATCGCAACTGTATCAATCCCCTAAAACACCCTAGCTATTGCCTAGAAAAACCCTAGCAATGCCCTAGTAACACACTAGCAACCACCCAGAATACCCCAGCAACGCCCTAGTAACTGCATAACAACACTCTAACAACCACCCAGAAACATCCTAGCAACTGCCTAGCAACTCTCTAGGGACCACCCAGAATACCCTATCAATTGTTTAAATTGTCTAATAAATATCTGAATTCTTGAAAAAACACAGAGACTAAATATGTTCAGAAATCCTCTTAAATCAGCCACAGTGATCAATACTACTGCTGGTCATGGCTGCGGAATGGACACAATGAACTCCCATAAAGCACTGCTGTACATGACGCATATAGCTCACTCTAGATTGATAGATAGATAGATAGATAGATACCCTTGCAACTGCCTAGCAACCACCTAGAACATCCAAGCAATTGCCTAGCAAAACCCTAGCAACGCCCTAGCAATTGCACACCAACACTCTATCAACCACCTAAAACACCATAGCTACTGCCTAGTAAAACCTTAGCAATGCAAAGCAGCAATTAAAGGCTCAATTAGTAATGACACTAGACTGCCTAGCAACACTCTAGCAACTGCATAGCAACACTCTAGCAACCACCCAGCAACAAAAATAGCTGAAAGCAGCAATTAAAGGGTAAATTAGTGGTTACTTTCGACTGCCTTACAACACTTTAGCAACCACCTACAAATACCCTAGCAACAACCAAGAACATCCTAGCGACTGCCTAGCAATTCCCTATCAACTGTATCACAACACTCTGTATCAATCGCAACTGTATCAATCCCCTAAAACACCCTAGCTATTGCCTAGAAAAACCCTAGCAATGCCCTAGTAACACACTAGCAACCACCCAGAATACCCCAGCAACGCCCTAGTAACTGCATAACAACACTCTAACAACCACCCAGAAACATCCTAGAGCGGGCGGATGGCGGGTGGTAGAAGGCCAGAGTTTGTTGGAGAGGCGTTTGGTGTAGGAGAACGGCGTCGTGTCTTGAGGTGGGATTTTGGTCGTCGATGAAACGTACTGGAAGAGTTCGTTGATGTTGTGTAGGTGCGGCACTAACTCCAACCAGAAGGCAATCTTGGTGGCCCTGTAGTGGTCGCGGACGCGAGGCTTCAGGCCGATGTGCAGGTACAGCTGGTCTTTAGGGTTGTACTTAGACCAGGCCACCTCCTCAAAGCGGTTCGGTTTAGTGTGGATGAACTTTGTGTCTTGAGGAACCGGCTGATTCGGGTCTCTGTGAAGTAAAACAAAACATGTTAAATTAGTAACATCTGTACAATTGCAGATGCTTTACTTTGCATTTTTAAAATTCATTCTTGTAAAATATTGAAATGACGATCTGATCAGATTCAGAAACAAAAACAGACGAAAACAGCAATTAAAGGGTCAGTTAGTGAGGTTAAGATCGACTGCTTAGCAACGCACTTGCAACTGCATAGCAACACTCCAGAATACCCTAGCAACACATTAGCAACAAAATAGCTGAAAGCAGCAATTAAAGGTTAAATTTGTGATATAATGTTTGATTGCCTAGCAACGCCCTAGCAACTGCATAGCAACACTCTAGCAACCACTCATAATACCCTAGCTGCCTAGCAACACCCTAGCAACAAAAATAACTGAAAGCAGTCATTAAAAGGTCAATTAGTGATGTTAATTTCCACTGCCTAGCAACACTCTAGCAACCACCAGGAATACCCTAGCAACACCCTAACAATGAAAAATAGCTGAAAGCAGCAATTAAAGGGTCAATTAGTGATGTTACATTTGACTGCTTAGCAACGCCCTAGCAACTACATAACAGCGCTCTAGCAACCACACAGAATAGCCAAGCAACTGCCTAACAACACTCTAGAACTGAGCTGGTCAATGACATCACTGAATCAACAATGAACCGACTTTAACTGATAAACTGACGGTTTTCTATTGTCCTCCTGCATTATCAGCACACGTTTTTCCTGCTTAACACTGTAAAGCTGCTTTGACACAATCTGTATTGTATAAAGCGCTATTTAAATAAAGATGACTTGACTTGACTCTAGCAACAAAAAAATTCTGAAATCAGCAATTGAAAGGTCCATTAGTGATTTTACTTTTCTCTACCTAGCAACACTTTAGCAACCACCCAGAATACCCTAGCAACACCCTAACAACAAAAAATAAATTAAAGGGTCAATTAGTGATGTTACATTTAATTGTCCAGCAAAGCCATAGCAACTTCATACCAACACTCTAGCAACCACCCAGAATAACCTAGCAACTGCCTAACAACACCTCTAGCAACAAAAACATTCTGAAATCAGCAATTGAAAGGTCCATTAGTGATTTTACTTTTCTCTACCTAGCAACACTTTAGCAACCACCCTAGCAACACCCTAACAACAAAAAATAAATTAAAGGGTCAATTAGTGATGTTACATTTAATTGTCCAGCAAAGCCATAGCAACTTCATACCAACACTCTAGCAACCACCCAGAATAACCTAGCAACTGCCTAACAACACCCTAGCAACAAAAATGGCTGAAATCAGAAATGAAAAGGTTAAATAGTGATGTTACTTTTGACCGTCTAGCAACACCCTAGCAACCATCCAGAATACCCTAGCATCTGCCTAGCAACATCCTAGCAACAGAAATAACTGAAAGAAGCAATTAAAGGGTCAAATAGTGATGTTACTTTTGACTGCATAGCAACACTTTAGCAACCACACAGAATACCTTAGCAACTGCCTAGCAACACCCTAACAATAAAAATAGCTGAAAGCAGCAATTGAAGGGACAATTTGTGATGTTACATTTGACTGCATAGCAACGCCCTAGCACCACCCAGAATACCCTAGCAACTAGAAATAATACACAGAATACCCCAGCAACTGCCTAGCAACACCCTAGCAATAAAAACAGCTGAGAGCAGCAATTAAAGAGTAAATTATTTATTTTACTTTCGACTGCCTAGCAACGCTCTAGCAACCACCCAGAATACCCTAGCAGCTCCCTAGCAACAAAAATGGCTGAAAGCAGCAATTAAAGGGCCAATTAGGGATGTTACATTTGATTGCCTAGCAACATCCTAGAAATTGCATAGCAACACTCTGGCAACCACCCAGAATACCCTAGCAGCTCCCTAGCAACAAAAATGGCTGAAAGCAGCAATTAAAGGGCCAATTAGGGATGTTACATTTGATTGCCTAGCAACATCCTAGAAATTGCATAGCAACACTCTGGCAACCACCCAGAATACCCTAGCAGCTCCCTAGCAACAAAAATGGCTGAAAGCAGCAATTAAAGGGCCAATTAGGGATGTTACATTTGATTGCCTAGCAACATCCTAGAAATTGCATAGCAACACTCTGGCAACCACCCAGAATACCCTAGCAGCTCCCTAGCAACAAAAATGGCTGAAAGCAGCAATTAAAGGGCCAATTAGGGATGTTACATTTGATTGCCTAGCAACATCCTAGAAATTGCATAGCAACACTCTGGCAACCACCCAGAATACCCTAGCAGCTCCCTAGCAACAAAAATGGCTGAAAGCAGCAATTAAAGGGCCAATTAGGGATGTTACATTTGATTGCCTAGCAACATCCTAGAAATTGCATAGCAACACTCTGGCAACCACCCAGAATACCCTAGCAGCTCCCTAGCAACAAAAATGGCTGAAAGCAGCAATTAAAGGGCCAATTAGGGATGTTACATTTGATTGCCTAGCAACATCCTAGAAATTGCATAGCAACACTCTGGCAACCACCCAGAATACCCTAGCAGCTCCCTAGCAACAAAAATGGCTGAAAGCAGCAATTAAAGGGCCAATTAGGGATGTTACATTTGATTGCCTAGCAACATCCTAGAAATTGCATAGCAACACTCTGGCAACCACCCAGAATACCCTAGCAGCTCCCTAGCAACAAAAATGGCTGAAAGCAGCAATTAAAGGGCCAATTAGGGATGTTACATTTGATTGCCTAGCAACATCCTAGAAATTGCATAGCAACACTCTGGCAACCACCCAGAATACCCTAGCAGCTCCCTAGCAACAAAAATGGCTGAAAGCAGCAATTAAAGGGCCAATTAGGGATGTTACATTTGATTGCCTAGCAACATCCTAGAAATTGCATAGCAACACTCTGGCAACCACCCAGAATACCCTAGCAGCTCCCTAGCAACAAAAATGGCTGAAAGCAGCAATTAAAGGGCCAATTAGGGATGTTACATTTGATTGCCTAGCAACATCCTAGAAATTGCATAGCAACACTCTGGCAACCACCCAGAATACCCTAGCAGCTCCCTAGCAACAAAAATGGCTGAAAGCAGCAATTAAAGGGCCAATTAGGGATGTTACATTTGATTGCCTAGCAACATCCTAGAAATTGCATAGCAACACTCTGGCAACCACCCAGAATACCCTAGCAGCTCCCTAGCAACAAAAATGGCTGAAAGCAGCAATTAAAGGGCCAATTAGGGATGTTACATTTGATTGCCTAGCAACATCCTAGAAATTGCATAGCAACACTCTGGCAACCACCCAGAATACCCTAGCAGCTCCCTAGCAACAAAAATGGCTGAAAGCAGCAATTAAAGGGCCAATTAGGGATGTTACATTTGATTGCCTAGCAACATCCTAGAAATTGCATAGCAACACTCTGGCAACCACCCAGAATACCCTAGCAGCTCCCTAGCAACAAAAATGGCTGAAAGCAGCAATTAAAGGGCCAATTAGGGATGTTACATTTGATTGCCTAGCAACATCCTAGAAATTGCATAGCAACACTCTGGCAACCACCCAGAATACCCTAGCAGCTCCCTAGCAACAAAAATGGCTGAAAGCAGCAATTAAAGGGCCAATTAGGGATGTTACATTTGATTGCCTAGCAACATCCTAGAAATTGCATAGCAACACTCTGGCAACCACCCAGAATACCCTAGCAGCTCCCTAGCAACAAAAATGGCTGAAAGCAGCAATTAAAGGGCCAATTAGGGATGTTACATTTGATTGCCTAGCAACATCCTAGAAATTGCATAGCAACACTCTGGCAACCACCCAGAATACCCTAGCAGCTCCCTAGCAACAAAAATGGCTGAAAGCAGCAATTAAAGGGCCAATTAGGGATGTTACATTTGATTGCCTAGCAACATCCTAGAAATTGCATAGCAACACTCTGGCAACCACCCAGAATACCCTAGCAGCTCCCTAGCAACAAAAATGGCTGAAAGCAGCAATTAAAGGGCCAATTAGGGATGTTACATTTGATTGCCTAGCAACATCCTAGAAATTGCATAGCAACACTCTGGCAACCACCCAGAATACCCTAGCAGCTCCCTAGCAACAAAAATGGCTGAAAGCAGCAATTAAAGGGCCAATTAGGGATGTTACATTTGATTGCCTAGCAACATCCTAGAAATTGCATAGCAACACTCTGGCAACCACCCAGAATACCCTAGCAGCTCCCTAGCAACAAAAATGGCTGAAAGCAGCAATTAAAGGGCCAATTAGGGATGTTACATTTGATTGCCTAGCAACATCCTAGAAATTGCATAGCAACACTCTGGCAACCACCCAGAATACCCTAGCAGCTCCCTAGCAACAAAAATGGCTGAAAGCAGCAATTAAAGGGCCAATTAGGGATGTTACATTTGATTGCCTAGCAACATCCTAGAAATTGCATAGCAACACTCTGGCAACCACCCAGAATACCCTAGCAGCTCCCTAGCAACAAAAATGGCTGAAAGCAGCAATTAAAGGGCCAATTAGGGATGTTACATTTGATTGCCTAGCAACATCCTAGAAATTGCATAGCAACACTCTGGCAACCACCCAGAATACCCTAGCAGCTCCCTAGCAACAAAAATGGCTGAAAGCAGCAATTAAAGGGCCAATTAGGGATGTTACATTTGATTGCCTAGCAACATCCTAGAAATTGCATAGCAACACTCTGGCAACCACCCAGAATACCCTAGCAGCTCCCTAGCAACAAAAATGGCTGAAAGCAGCAATTAAAGGGCCAATTAGGGATGTTACATTTGATTGCCTAGCAACATCCTAGAAATTGCATAGCAACACTCTGGCAACCACCCAGAATACCCTAGCAGCTCCCTAGCAACAAAAATGGCTGAAAGCAGCAATTAAAGGGCCAATTAGGGATGTTACATTTGATTGCCTAGCAACATCCTAGAAATTGCATAGCAACACTCTGGCAACCACCCAGAATACCCTAGCAGCTCCCTAGCAACAAAAATGGCTGAAAGCAGCAATTAAAGGGCCAATTAGGGATGTTACATTTGATTGCCTAGCAACATCCTAGAAATTGCATAGCAACACTCTGGCAACCACCCAGAATACCCTAGCAGCTCCCTAGCAACAAAAATGGCTGAAAGCAGCAATTAAAGGGCCAATTAGGGATGTTACATTTGATTGCCTAGCAACATCCTAGAAATTGCATAGCAACACTCTGGCAACCACCCAGAATACCCTAGCAGCTCCCTAGCAACAAAAATGGCTGAAAGCAGCAATTAAAGGGCCAATTAGGGATGTTACATTTGATTGCCTAGCAACATCCTAGAAATTGCATAGCAACACTCTGGCAACCACCCAGAATACCCTAGCAGCTCCCTAGCAACAAAAATGGCTGAAAGCAGCAATTAAAGGGCCAATTAGGGATGTTACATTTGATTGCCTAGCAACATCCTAGAAATTGCATAGCAACACTCTGGCAACCACCCAGAATACCCTAGCAGCTCCCTAGCAACAAAAATGGCTGAAAGCAGCAATTAAAGGGCCAATTAGGGATGTTACATTTGATTGCCTAGCAACATCCTAGAAATTGCATAGCAACACTCTGGCAACCACCCAGAATACCCTAGCAGCTCCCTAGCAACAAAAATGGCTGAAAGCAGCAATTAAAGGGCCAATTAGGGATGTTACATTTGATTGCCTAGCAACATCCTAGAAATTGCATAGCAACACTCTGGCAACCACCCAGAATACCCTAGCAGCTCCCTAGCAACAAAAATGGCTGAAAGCAGCAATTAAAGGGCCAATTAGGGATGTTACATTTGATTGCCTAGCAACATCCTAGAAATTGCATAGCAACACTCTGGCAACCACCCAGAATACCCTAGCAGCTCCCTAGCAACAAAAATGGCTGAAAGCAGCAATTAAAGGGCCAATTAGGGATGTTACATTTGATTGCCTAGCAACATCCTAGAAATTGCATAGCAACACTCTGGCAACCACCCAGAATACCCTAGCAGCTCCCTAGCAACAAAAATGGCTGAAAGCAGCAATTAAAGGGCCAATTAGGGATGTTACATTTGATTGCCTAGCAACATCCTAGAAATTGCATAGCAACACTCTGGCAACCACCCAGAATACCCTAGCAGCTCCCTAGCAACAAAAATGGCTGAAAGCAGCAATTAAAGGGCCAATTAGGGATGTTACATTTGATTGCCTAGCAACATCCTAGAAATTGCATAGCAACACTCTGGCAACCACCCAGAATACCCTAGCAGCTCCCTAGCAACAAAAATGGCTGAAAGCAGCAATTAAAGGGCCAATTAGGGATGTTACATTTGATTGCCTAGCAACATCCTAGAAATTGCATAGCAACACTCTGGCAACCACCCAGAATACCCTAGCAACTGCCTAGCAACAACCCAGCAAACACCCAGAACAATCTCTCTCTCTCTCTCTCTCTCTCTCTCTCTCTCTATCTCTCTGTCTGTCTATCTATCTATCTATCTATCTATCTATCTATCTATCTATCTATCTATCTATCTATCTATCTATCTATCTAATTGTGTTATTAATTTATAAACTAATATATTAATCTATCAATTTAAATACTTTTAAATCAATTTAAACTAAATAAAGTCATCCTGCAGCCCTTATGTATTTATACAGGTGCTTATGTATTTTCTGTGCTAATTAGCTTTATCAGTATGTAAACATATGCATCTTACTCACCCAGTTTTGGCAAAGTTCGTCCAGTACGTCATGACCACGGCGCTCAACATTATGTCATTCTTGGAGAAGTTGCAGTTGAAGAGATCTGTGGGGCCAATCATGGGAATGCCGAAAACGTACGGAAGCTCGTCTCCGTGAGCCGAATCGGCCCAGGCTGGCTTCATATCGCTCTGGCAGTGGTGATAAAAGGCATAAAAGTACGTGGGCGATCCGTACTGCGCGTGCAGGTCCGCTGTAGCCACGGCCGGCGCCACCCACTGGTGATCCGTGAAAAGTGCGACCAGCGTTTTCCGCCGCATCTCCGGGTTTTCCCTGTCTGCCCAGTCCGTGTACATGAACTTTATGGTTTCCCGCAGGGTGTCCTTTCCTTCCGGGTAGCCGTACAAGTGATCGACGAATTCTGATATGGCGAACTCGAAGTCGTTGCTCGTTACTCTATCCTCGCTGTCTAAGATCCCGTCCACGAACTTGTACCCTTCGCCCTGGTTGACTCCAAGCATTATATCGTAGTTCAGGAACTCTCCTTGCTCCATGAGGATCTGTGGGTCGTCCGGAATGACGTCTCCGTCGATCACGGGTCCGAAGGCGATGTGGTATTTGGCGGGGGTGATGTTCTGCTCGATCAGCTCTTTGTAGTTTTTCTTTTGGAGGCACTCGATCAGCTCGACCGTGTCGTCTTCGTTGCAGCCCACCTTCTCGGCCAGCATGCGCTATCTCTCTGTCTGTCTATCTATCTATCTATCTATCTATCTATCTATCTATCTATCTATCTATCTATCTAATTGTGTTATTAATTTATAAACTAATATATTAATCTATCAATTTAAATACTTTTAAATCAATTTAAACTAAATAAAGTCATCCTGCAGCCCTTATGTATTTATACAGGTGCTTATGTATTTTCTGTGCTAATTAGCTTTATCAGTATGTAAACATATGCATCTTACTCACCCAGTTTTGGCAAAGTTCGTCCAGTACGTCATGACCACGGCGCTCAACATTATGTCATTCTTGGAGAAGTTGCAGTTGAAGAGATCTGTGGGGCCAATCATGGGAATGCCGAAAACGTACGGAAGCTCGTCTCCGTGAGCCGAATCGGCCCAGGCTGGCTTCATATCGCTCTGGCAGTGGTGATAAAAGGCATAAAAGTACGTGGGCGATCCGTACTGCGCGTGCAGGTCCGCTGTAGCCACGGCCGGCGCCACCCACTGGTGATCCGTGAAAAGTGCGACCAGCGTTTTCCGCCGCATCTCCGGGTTTTCCCTGTCTGCCCAGTCCGTGTACATGAACTTTATGGTTTCCCGCAGGGTGTCCTTTCCTTCCGGGTAGCCGTACAAGTGATCGACGAATTCTGATATGGCGAACTCGAAGTCGTTGCTCGTTACTCTATCCTCGCTGTCTAAGATCCCGTCCACGAACTTGTACCCTTCGCCCTGGTTGACTCCAAGCATTATATCGTAGTTCAGGAACTCTCCTTGCTCCATGAGGATCTGTGGGTCGTCCGGAATGACGTCTCCGTCGATCACGGGTCCGAAGGCGATGTGGTATTTGGCGGGGGTGATGTTCTGCTCGATCAGCTCTTTGTAGTTTTTCTTTTGGAGGCACTCGATCAGCTCGACCGTGTCGTCTTCTTTGCAGCCGACCTTCTCGGCCAGCATGCGCGTGTATTTGGCCGGCTGGTAGTTGACGGCCCAGCTGGAGAGAGCCGTCCCGCTCTGAATGATCGCTTTCTGAAACAGATCTGGGACACAAACACTCGCTGTCAGAGCAATACAACATTTAAACATTTAAATATCATGATTATTTATTAGCACTGGGAAAAAAAACTATTCTGATAAAAATTACAATTGCAATTTAAAAGAAGTCCAGGTTTGCAGTGCATGTTATTCTGTATGTCAATTATAACAATAATTATATCAATGATCTTGTGATTATATATCAATATGGCTACAATATATATATATATATATATATATATAGAGAGAGAGAGAGAGAGAGAGAGAGAGAGCTCCGTGAGCCGAATCGGCCCAGGCTGGCTTCATATCGCTCTGGCAGTGGTGATAAAAGGCATAAAAGTACGTGGGCGATCCGTACTGCGCGTGCAGGTCCGCTGTAGCCACGGCCGGCGCCACCCACTGGTGATCCGTGAAAAGTGCGACCAGCGTTTTCCGCCGCATCTCCGGGTTTTCCCTGTCTGCCCAGTCCGTGTACATGAACTTTATGGTTTCCCGCAGGGTGTCCTTTCCTTCCGGGTAGCCGTACAAGTGATCGACGAATTCTGATATGGCGAACTCGAAGTCGTTGCTCGTTACTCTATCCTCGCTGTCTAAGATCCCGTCCACGAACTTGTACCCTTCGCCCTGGTTGACTCCAAGCATTATATCGTAGTTCAGGAACTCTCCTTGCTCCATGAGGATCTGTGGGTCGTCCGGAATGACGTCTCCGTCGATCACGGGTCCGAAGGCGATGTGGTATTTGGCGGGGGTGATGTTCTGCTCGATCAGCTCTTTGTAGTTTTTCTTTTGGAGGCACTCGATCAGCTCGACCGTGTCGTCTTCATTGCAGCCAACCTTCTCGGCCAGCATGCGCGTGTATTTGGCCGGCTGGTAGTTGACGGCCCAGCTGGAGAGAGCCGTCCCGCTCTGAATGATCGCTTTCTGAAACAGATCTGGGACACAAACACTCGCTGTCAGAGCAATACAACATTTAAACATTTAAATATCATGATTATTTATTAGCACTGGGAAAAAAAACTATTCTGATAAAAATTACAATTGCAATTTAAAAGAAGTCCAGGTTTGCAGTGCATGTTATTCTGTATGTCAATTATAACAATAATTATATCAATGATCTTGTGATTATATATCAATATGGCTACAATATATATATATATATATATATATATAGAGAGAGAGAGAGAGAGAGAGAGAGAGAGTTTATATAAAAAAAACTATAAGTAATATTACTTGTAATATTTCACTGTAAATTCAAGTATTTTTTCTGATATTTTTTTTTGCAATTAAAAAAAATATTATTATTATTATTAATATTATTTAATTATACTACTACTACTACTACTACTAATAATAATAATAAATAATAATTATTATTATTTATTTGTATGCATTTAAATAAAACTAATAAAATAAAAAACAAAATAATAAAATAATAAAATATTAAGAAATAGTATTTAACAAACACAATTATATAATAATAATACTTTTATTTTACACACATACTGTACATACTGTAAATTGTAAAATTACAATATTTATGGATCTTAATTTCTCAATTTTTAAAGGTTAAACCATCAAACTTATATTTTGATGGAAAACCCTCCCTGTTCTAGCTTGTACTATTCTGAACAATATCTGAAACTTTGCATTTCTAGCACTTGAATTGAACTGAATTGAATTGAATTTCTTTATAGTTATTGTATGCATACAACTTTCATTGTACCCACCAACACGTCTCGTGTGTATTGCTTTTTTAAGATGAATGACTTGTTGTATTTTTCATTTGTATGGCGCTTTGGATTAAAAAATAAATAAATACAATGAAAAACCCCAGGGAGCTATTAAAGCTTCTCTTTTGTTGATCAGCTCTTCTCATTACACGTTTGGGAAGATAGTTTGCGTATGTTCCCAAATGCTGTTATAAACAGTGTTGGGAGTAACGCGTTACAATAGTGTAAGGCATTACTAATCCATTTTCAGTAATATTTTACTCGGTACATGTTCAGTGACGCATGCGTTACAAGTTACAACACACTTTTAACCCCAAATTTTATTTTTAATTAATTAACGCAAGACATTAACGAATAAAAAATGCAGCAAGTAAGTTCTATTTCCTGTTCGTCGTCAGTGAATAGCCGCGTGTGGTGTCCAAGTTTGTAAATAAAGACTAAACGACAGCTTCTGATATATTTGTTTAGAGATTTATTTCATTCATCTCCCTCTCGCTGGTGAAACTTTGTATTGTGTGACGTAGTCCAGTGAAGAGTGTTTAGGTCGGGTTTTACAGGAGTGCCGCGAGGCTACTGGCCCGACAGTGGAAACACGGCATGATTTCGGCCTCTGTGCTTGAGGTCCGAGGCTATTAGCCCCGCCCCGGCTCACACTGGCCAGTGGAAAAGTGGCTAATGGATGAAGATGGCAGAAGACTGTACATGCGCGAGATGGATGTATGCGCATCTTGTCATGGCATTAGAGTTTACATAGTCCTGTTGTGTCTAATATGAATAGACCCAATGCCATTCACAGATATCGCCAGATAATCACTTTACCTCTACCATACTTTTAACAGACTTGGATTGTTTGTGATTCTGGCTGTCATCCTTTCGTGCATTGTCTTGAGCCTTCACTTTGCCAATTATAAGCTATATTGTTAGTAGCCCGCAGTCATTATGATACGCCATATCGCCCTCTACTGAATGTAAAATGCGATGCAGTACATTTTGTCATTTTAGAAAGTTAAGTATGGTAACAATTTAGAATAGGGAACACTTATTCACTATTAACTATGAATTTTCCCTTAATAAATTCCTAATTTGCTGCTTATTAATAGTTAGTAAGGTAGTTGTTAAGTTTAGGTACTGAGTCGGATTAAGGTCATGTAGAATAAGGCATTAATATGTGCTTAATTACTACTAATAAATGGCTAATATTCTAGTAATATGCATGTTAATAAGCAACTAGTTACGAGACCCTAAAATAAAGTGTTACCTTAAGTTCTACTTCTGTAGTTATTTTGGCAAAAGTAACTCAAAAGTAATACAAGAGTCATGTAACGCATTACAATTCTGAGACAGTAATATTGTAAGGTAAGGAATTACTTTTAAATAACAGTAACAAGTAATCTATAATGTATTACAGTTTGGAAGTAACTTGCACAACACTGGTAGTGAAGGGGATGCTAGTATAGTAAGCCTATCTATAGTGCTCGGTGTGAATGAGCCTTAAGTGTCAAATATGAAAGACTTCAAAATACAAGAAAGCACAACTAGACAAAAATATTATTATCATGACCACGGTTTATATGTCATATAATAATGTATTACATTATTACAACCTATACGTTATTTTTGTAGGTTTGAGCAAAGACATGGCAAACTTTATTAAAAGCAAAGCTTTAGTCAAACCTCAGTGATAATTCACGGTGAGAGTTCAACATCACAAATACTGTTATAAAAAGTCAAATCTGTTTTATAAAAATTCAAATCACTACAATATTTTAGCAAAAAATGACAAGCTTTGGCATCAACATTTCAATGGGACAAAACTGGGATGAACTCCTTTTTGGGGCATCTGTCAAATTCTTACTGTAATGCTTTAATCGCTGTTGTCTTGAAAGTACAGATTCACATATTGTAAGATATGATCAACGGCGTTGAGCAGGAGAATATCAGTGTTTTCATCCAGATCCAGCTCTGAGCAGTAGTTCTTCACCGGGACTATGTAGGATGTGGCCATTCCCAGCAGCTCTCCGGCCTTCACCATCTAGACAGATCAGTAAGAGAATGAATCACGTGATGCTCAAGGCAGACAGCACAACATGGCAAATAGGGATGGGCGTATCGATCCGAAGTATCGATACTCAAACAACAAATATCGATACTAAGGTGTGTTTTATTTACCAGTGATATTGTTTATTTAACAAAAAAATAATAATGTGTACAATATGCATTGAATCAGACGAATAACCTTTGTTAGCGAGTGATTGTGTAGGATACAACTATTTTCCTGCTCATCTGAACACACACAAATGTTGCAAGACAGAACCAATCCATCACAGAGAGCGTTCACTCACTTCTGACGGTGCATTCAAACAGGGCTGCGTTTCCCAAAAGTGTCATAAGAAACCATTGATGCTTTTGAGAACGGCAGCCAAGAACAATGCTTATCAGAGGACAGAAGGACAGAGTTATTTCACAGTAAACAAACTGAAATTGTAGCCTACATAGTTTGTGCAATTACAGTTATTTAAATTGAACGTTGAAAGATAATATTGATCATGTTCTATTCTGTAATGTTAATAGAATAAAAAGGTTGCATTTTATGCAT